AAATGGCCCATGCAGATTTTTTAAGCCGTAATCCAATTCCAGCCGAAAAAAATACACCATTGCAAAAGGTAGTCGAAAAGCGCGTAAATTTGACGGAGGTCTCTGACAACTGGTTACTTGCTGAGCAGCAACGCGATCCAGAAGTTTCAGAAATAATTGAGAAAATACAAAATGATGAGTTCGGTGAAGATTTACTTAGAACGTACGAATTGAGAAAGGGCATGCTTCATAGAAAAATTCAACGTAATGGTAGAACACGTTGCCTACCCGTAATACCTAGAGCTTACAGATGGTCTGTAATTAACCACGTACATGAAGCTGTAATGCACTTAGGTTGGGAAAAGACACTAGACAAAGTATATGCGCATTATTGGTTCGCCAATATGTCGAAATATGTGAGGCGTTTTGTGGAAAATTGCATTACTTGCAAACTAAGTAAGGCCCCAAAAGGAAAAGTACAGGCAGAGCTTCATCCAATTCCAAAAGTTGCTATACCCTGGCATACTTTGCACATTGACATTACAGGAAAGCTAAGTGGCAAGAACGATCAAAAAGAGTACATTATTGTTGTTATAGATGCTTTTACTAAGTTCGTATATTTATGATACCGAAAGTTGTGTAAGGGCTATGAAAACTGTTGTGTCGTTGTTTGGTTTGCCTATTCGTGTAATTGCTGATCAAGGTAGGTCCTTCGCCAGTTCAGGGTTTCGGGAGTTTTGCACGTCGCAAAAAATTGATCTCCATTTGATTGCCACAGGTGCCAGTCGAGCCAACGGGCAGGTTGAGCGAGTTATGGGGACACTTAAAAGTATGCTTACTGCAGTCGAAACGAGCCATCGATCATGGCAAGACGCGTTATTAGAAGTCCAATTGGCCATGAATAGTACAGCAAATCGAGTGATCAAAATAAGTCCCTTGGAGATGATGATTGGCAGGGAGGGTACACCATTTGGTTTGTTGCCCATCACTGATGATGAGGAAATTGTAGACTGAGATAAAGTTAGAGTACAAGCCAAGGAAAATATAGATCGTAACGCACAGTATGACAAAAAAAGGTTCGATAAGAACAAGGCTAATATTGTAATGCACCAGGTTGGTGATTATGTTTTGATAAGAAATGAAGAGAGAAACCAGACAAAACTCGATCCGAAATTTAAAGGCCCCTTTGAAATAATCGAAGTTTTAGAGGGTGACCGATATAAGTTAAAGTCTCTAACAAGTAAACGTCAATATAAATATGCACATGAACACTTGCGGTCCTTACCAGATATAGAAGTACTGGCAGAAATTGACGAAGATTTTGACAAGACAAATGATGAAGAGAGTCAGACCCGAAGTGAACAAGACGAAATGTAAAGGCAAGTAATGTCGAATGTAAAGCTGCACCAAGATCCTGTGTGGATGCTTGGCGGGAGCATATGAGAAGCTGCACCATGATCCTTTGAGGATGCTTGGCGGGAGCATATGAGAAGCTGCACCATGATCCTTTGAGGATGCTTGGCGGGAGCATATGAAAAGCTGCACCATGATCCTGTGTGGATGCTTGGCGGGAGCATATGTGTGGCTGCACCATGATCCTGTGTGGATACTTGGCGGGAGTCAGGAGGACGAGTTGTCTTTGAAAGTATAAGTTGGAATTAGTGTTAATGAATAAGTGATGAACACAGCATTTAAGTAGTAATGCTTATTGGGTATAAATATCATACACGAGGACGTGTGCCTGTCAGGAAGCCCGTGTCGCAGTTCTAGGAATTATTTGAATTCTATAAGACCTTGACTTATTTATCGGGCATAGAAGTTGATTGCATAATTCCAGAAAGTGACAAATTCCTAGAATCCAAAGTGTTCGTTCTCTCTGGAGAGCGAGAGTGCAATATTAGCGAGATGGTGTTGCAAGACGTTTAGAATAACGGCATAACCATCGAGTGTGGCCCGATTGCGCAAGAGAGGAGACTAAGATAATTTCGGGGAAGGATAGGCGTTGAAGTTGAACAGCGCGACACTTCGATTTTAACTCTTGCCGCGATCGGGACTCACTGCGCTAAAATGCAAAATTCAGAAAACATTGATTCTCCGATATATTTAATATTGCGATCATGCATGTTTGACATACTATGTACAGTGGCTCGCAGCTTATTTCAACCAGCACCTCAAAAAAACTTTAAAGCCATATATCTAGCAAACCATGAGAGCAAATATAAAAATTCAAATGGGGATTTGTAGTGTGAGCCTTTAAGTTAACATTTTTGTTACCATTTTTTTTTTAACATTTTTTAAATATTTAATAAAAAATTTTAAACAAAAATACTGCTCAAAATACTCCAGCAACTTGTTTCAACCAGCTAGGAAAAAATATTTTTTAACTGACTTAAATGAAAAAACAAGAAAAATTAATACTTGTTTTGGCCACCATTGTTGTCAATGAACATTTTAAGCCGTTTTGACATCGATTCCACCAGCTTTTTCTCCCCAATAGGACTATTTTTCCTCACTCTGTCACCATACCGTTTTTTAGAGCAGATTTGTTAGAAAACTGGCTTTTTTTGATATTTTGGTAGGGAATTGCCCAGAAATTTTTCATTACGTTTATGTCTGGTGCCTAGGCGGGGGGTTCCATCACATGTAGGCAATTCCAAATCAGCCAAGACTGAACAATATCCGATTTGTGGTTTGGGTCATTGTCTTGGTAGAATCGAAAATCCTCCCGATTTCCAAGTTCTACCGCATTTTGAACAAAATTGGCTTTCCAAATTTCAAGATAGTGAACCTTGTAAATCGTAGACTTTATAAAGTGCAGTCTTCCGACGCCAGCTGCCGACATACAGGCCCATACCGTGAAACTACCGCAGCAATGCTTAAATGTAGTATTTAGATAATGAAAAATTTCTGGGCAATTCCGTACCAAAATATCAAAAAAAGCCAGTTTTCTAACAAATCTGCTCTAAAAAACGCTATGGTGACAGAGTGAGGAAAAATAGTCCTATTGGGGAGAAAAAAGCTGGTGGAATCGATGTCGGCTTAAAATGTTCATTGACAACAATGTTGGCCAAAACAAGTATTAATTTTTCTTGTTTTTTCATTTAAGTCAGTTAAAAAATATATTTTCCTAGCTGGTTGAAACAAGCTGCTGCAGTATTTTGAGCAGTATTTTTGTTTAAAATTTTTTATTAAATATTTTAAAAATGCTAAAAAAAAAAATGTTAACAAAAATGTTAACTTAAAGGCTCACACTACAAATCCCCATTTGAATTTTTATATTTGCTCTCATGGTTTGCTAGATATATGGCTTTAAAGTTTTTTTGAGGTGCTGGTTGAAATAAGCTGCGAGCCACTGTATATAGAATAGGCCTTACTGTAAGCTATCATACAATAGAACGGCAAACCTAAACTTGTCATTTTAGTTTCATATATGTACGTATACAATTTTGTATATGTATTTACTAAATATAATAGTAAACAAGAAAAAAAGTTGCTTCGGCAAGCCGAAGCTTATATACCCTTCCAGTCATCAATTATTTCGAACAGAATACACAAAGGCTAAACAACAGCGAAGCTACGACGACTTTTCTATTAATTTTCCGCATTTTTGACTATTGTTCATATGGCAGCTATATGATATAGTCGTCTGATTTTGATAAAATTTAATTTGTTATTCAAAAGTCGTTAGAAAACTCTATATTCCAAAAATCATTATTTCTAAAAAGATATAACGATGTTATCATTTTATTTCTGTTAATTCTATATAGATTTTCCGATGTTTCCTATGGCAGCTATATGATATAGTTGTCCGATTTTAATGAAAATTTTTTTATAAATCAAGGCTAGTTAAAAAACTTGATACTGAAAAAATCATAGTCGTGTGATGAAAAACAATGACGTTATCAATTAATTTCCATTAATTCTATAAATATTTTTTGACCTCTCCTATGGCAGCTATATGATAGAGTTATCCGATTTTGATAAAATTTAAACCAAAATTTAATAGTAGTTAGAAAACGCCATCTGGAAGAAATCATCGATAGAAATCATCAGTCGATCTGATCAAAAAAAAACGGAGTGAGAATTTTTTATTTCATTCTCTCGTATGGGAGCTATCCGATATAGTCGGCCGATCCGTCTCGTTCCGACTTATATACTGCGTGCAATAACTACACAACTTTTCGGAAAGTTTGAGCACGATAGCTTCAAAACTGAGAGACTAGTTTACATAGAAACAGACAGACGTACAGACGGATTTCGATTCAGATAGTGGCACGATTTTAGTTTCCGGGGCGCCAAGATTTGAAGACATATTTTGAGTAATTGGCCGAAAATAAATACTTTTTACGAAAACAAAATTTTTTGATATCTCGCACCGTTTACGAGATATCGAACCTTAAATATCGGCTTATAGTGCGGCCGTTACACTGGGAAAAAAAATTTTTTAAGAAATTAACTCAAAAATAAATATTTTTTGAGGTAATTGTTATAAAAAAACTAAGCTAAAAACTGAACAAATAAATTTAAGTGTTCGTCTTCGACCGAAAGTACCGCAAATCTTGAAAGTTCCACGAATAATATGTGCAATAAGTAATTTCGCCTGCTACCAGCCCTCACTATAATCCGTAATTTAGGGCTCGATTTCTCGTAAACGGTGCGAGAAATCGAAAAATTTTATTTAGTAAAAAGTGTTTATTTTGGGCCAATTACCCAAAATATGTCCTCAAATCTTGGCGCCCCGGAAACTAAAATCTCCCCCAGATAGTGATGCTGATCAAGAATATATATACTTTATAGGGTGTGAGGAGCCTCCTTCACTGCGTTGCAAACTTCTGACTGAAATTATAATACCCTTTGCCCTGCAAGGGTATAAATATGATAAGTTTAGTTAAAGATGGTATTTAAGCAGGGGCGGGCGCCGGAAAAAATTTTGGGGGTCAAATCGAACCCTGGAACACCCCCTTCTTCCACCCTGTATTTAAGGTATTTCATTTGGATGGATTAAGTAGTTAAAGGCTCACCTTGTCATCAAAACAATGTATTTATGTACATTTACATATATGAAGATAGTTCGTTAAGCCAGCACAGCAGTTTCTAAGCACTCATACTGCCTGTTTTGTTTTCGATTTTCGTAAATCGTTTTACAAAGTAGTTTTTTTTTACATTACTAGCTGCAGCCTGCTCCTAATTTTCCATTTGTTATTCGTGCCCAAAAATAAAGCAATCATAAGCCGTGGATAAATGAAAAAATTGGGAAAACACTTGCTCATTTCTTTTATAAATCTACCTTCTTCCAGCACTTATCAAGTTAATACCTTTCGGCACTCCTATAGCCAGAGTTCACACAATTCGCAGGCTACCCCCTGCAATGAGCGGTAAAAGCTTTTCCCCTCCCAATTTTACTTTGTAAAGTTAAACCAATATAGAAATTATCCCGAACTTAACTACAGCAAGTTAGACTTCCGACGTTTGTATGACCAACCACAGTATGTTTGCATATATTACATACAGTAAGGGTATTCTTTATAGCTTGACTCCATTGACATGTTTGTTCACACTTAACATAAACATTAAATGTAAATATAATAGAGAAAATGAATTATTCTCAATTTTCATCTTAGAAGTTATGAAAAGATTTGTATATATTATGTTAAGTGCGTCATATGTCATGGTGGTTTATTATTTTCATATTTTTTTTTACTGAATATGTAACTCTAAACCGAAAGTCCTTCTATACATTTAAGGCAGGTTCTCACCCTTCTAAACTTTGCGTCCATCAGTGGAAGCATCTTGGCGAGGAGGTGTCCCGCTAACGGAAGAGATTCCGTCAAAATGCGTAATTCAATTACAAAAACCAAAAAGATTCTTAATAAGTATATGTGTTGAATGAACTGCAATCATGGAAAAAATATAAAAATTGTAAAAGTTATTCGCTTTTATAAAAAAAATTACAATTTTCGTTTTTTTTTTTTGTTTGTTTTTTGGCTGATCGTAGTTCATTATTAGAAAAAACATTGAGGAAAATTAAAAAAAAATTGATGACGATTGGTCTGTTCCAACACCTGCAGTCATTTCCGTAAGTTCAAAAAACGTGGTTTTGAGAAAAACGCGTTTAAAGTTTTGGCTTTAAAAGCACACTTTTGAAACACGATAAGCAAAAAATTTGTTTCTCCACAAGGTGAGAACCTGCCCTAAGAAAGGGTTTTTAAGGACATTTTTTGAAATCAAGTTATTTTGCATTAAGGCAGGTTCTCACCTTGTGGCAAAAAAAAAATAATTTTTTTTTTGGCTTATCGTTCCGAAAATGTTCTCAAAAAATTTCAGATCCAAATTTGAAATATTACAAAAGTTACAGGCCCTTACATGGAGCACATGTCGAGCACCGGCCATTGGAAGCCAAAACTTTAAACGCGTTTATCTCGGAACCACGTTTTCGGACTTTACGTAAGTAATGGAAGGAGTTTGGGGTTAACCAATCGTCATCAAATTTTTTTTAATGTTTCTAATTGTTTCCTTTAACTGATAAACTAGGATTATCCAAAAATATTGAAAACTGTTTAATTGAGAAAATAATTAGTGAGAAAAAAAGCGCGAAAATCTAAATTTTTTTCAAAAGCTAATAACTTTTGCAATTTTTTTTTTTTTTCTGATCCTAGTTCATTTTATGCACAGTACTGTACACTTTAAGAATCTTTTCGGTTTTTGTGTCTCCGATTACCCGTTTTGGCTTAATCACTTCCGTAAGCGGGACACCTTTTTGTCGAAATGTTGCAACTGAGGAACGCCCCTCCCGCCCCTTTTTTGATTTTTCAATTTTGAAATTTTTTTCGCATAATAAATATGTTTTCAAATGAAGTTACAAATTTCAGATTTTTATGTTTAACCGTTTTCTCAAAACAATTTTTTTTTTTTAAATGTCAATTTTTCGGCCCTACAAGGTGAGAACCTGCCTTAAATGTGACGAAACGTGCCCAATGGGTCAAGTCTTTACAATGATTTTATTGAAATACAATTTTCGTTGTATTTTTGATTTCACTGTCGTTGTATTGGTAATTGTTTACAAGTGCGGTGCACGGTAAATACAGCTTAAAAAATAAAGTAAAATATGGAAACGATGTAGTTTTTTTCTAAAACTTGTAAATCCGTTGGCGGAGAGTGAAAATGTTGCACCGTTTCTTTGTTATTAACAATTAAAAATTCGATTTGTAGTACAAATTCGGATCTGAGAGACCGTATTTGCATGTGATGTGCCGATTATTGCACTCGTCTGGTGGCGGTTTATTTTAATTACCCGCTTAAAATCAAGTTTATTAAAACAACTATCAGTGGGCGTAGCACAAAAATATAACAAACTTTCGATGCGTTCGTATAACTAGAATCTTCATTTGTAATCCCAATATTCTAGACCCAATAGTTCCTTAGATCTCGACTCATCTGAATTAATTCTGTTCCGTAATAAGATGCATCTGCATCTGTTTCTAAGCATTAACTCATTATGCGTCTGTGAAAAGACTATTAAACTTCATCGTCAGGTGAATTTTTGTATCGAATGTGATACACCGACTCATAAAGAACACTATCAAAAACTGATGCCTGATTCGCCCGAATTGACAAATTGTTTGTAAATGATTTAATCAGAAGAGGAATTTTCCACAATTGAAATCTCTTTAACTTAATTGACCTTCAAAAGAATGTATCACATCAATCGTGAAGATACTTTTTTGATTGCATATGTGTTGAGTCCCATGATTTCACCAACAAAATGTAACAATACCCAGCGGGAAAGTGAGAAGTAGGTTTTTTATTTGAGTGGAAAACCTCCTTCTTTTAGCAGGCGTAGGGGTAGGGATAGTTGAAAATCTACTTCTTTTGGCAGGCGTTGGGAAGGGATAAATAATTTCGGACCGCTAAATGGGGTGGGTTTCTGAATATGACCATAAGTTACAACGAAGTTGTGACTAATTATTGTCTTTCTTCGGAATGTTGTTATGATACACGGTCACATCAGTATAAAATTTCGTGCAAAAAGTGTAAAAAGTGAAAAAAGTTGTGTTAATCTTAAAAAACAAGATAAAGGTAAGTTATAACATAAATATTTTTGTTTGTATTTCCTTATTTCAGCGTAACGGATATGGTGAGCATAGGCATTTTTACTAAAACTATATATAAGCCACCAGAGGCGGTTGTCAAGTAAGTAAGTTTTTTATTTAAATTTATTTTTCAATTTTACAAGATCAAACAATGTTTTTTTTAGAATTTGTAATAGATTCGACTTCAAAGATTCTGGCCCTTGTGTTAATATTAACGGCAAAACTGAACGTGCGCAAGCGGACATTCCGATTTCGTCATTTGAAGAACTCGGCCATTTGGACTCCGATGCCGAAGCCAATCCAAAAGCATTTGTAAGTACTCGCTAAATTTTTAATAAGTTTCAACAGCCCTGTGTTCCCATGCTTTTTACTATGTTTATTACTTACTTTTCTAAATTTCTATAATTTTCCCATTACTTTTTATATATTTATTATTTGTGTTAATATGTAATATATTAATGTATTATGGTTTTTATTTTCAGAGTCACTCAAAAACGACAATTACAGTCTTCCCCAATATCAAGATGATCTGTGTTCACCGTTCACTAAGGCAAATAATAACATACAACAATACTTATGATAAAGGCCCTTGGACTGTAAATAGATTAATAAATGTATATACCAAATTAAAAAGTATTATTTTTTATTGTGGAAATTCTGTAAAGCGGGAAGGCCAAAAACCAGTGGATTTTGCCCTGCATTCAGCAGTTAGAGATCCACTGGATTTTGTCCTGCATTTAGCAGCTGTAGGTCCAGTGGATTTTGCCCTGCATTCAGCAGCTGTAGGTCCAGTGTATTTTGCCCTGCATTGAGCAGCTTTAGGTCCACTGGATTTTTCCCTTTACCCCTTACTTTTGTGTGTCACCCCCGTGTATTTTGAAAGGAGAGACGGCAGATTTGTAAGGGGTAAAGGGGATTTTCCACATTCCGCTTGTATGAAGAAACCACTGGAAAATAGCATATTTTCCACAGGTTTTTTCCCGCTGGGTAGTAAACAAGTAAACATGCAACAATATATTCTCATGGGCACGATTTTAGTTTCCGGGGCGACAAGATTTGAGGACATATTTTTAATAATTGGCCGAAAATCAACACTTTTTAATAAACAAAATTTTTCGATATCTCGCACCGTTTAGAAAAATTGGCGCGCACTTATGCATTGATGCATATACTATATTATTTTTTGAGGTAATTGTTATAAAAAAAAACACCGGTAGCACTCCGGGAGTGCCAGCAGAAGTGAAAACTTCAATATTAACTTTGTGTTTAATTATAAGCAGGGCTAACAGAGTTATGTTTTTAAATGAAAAAATATTTATTTCCATATTTTCGACTTTTTTTCAATCAATTAATCAATCCAAATATGTATCATCGAATGTAACAATAATGATGCAGTTTATATTTTATGATTCAGATTTTATTCCATATTTCATGCTTTCGTTTCATGCATATCGCGAATGTTAGCAGGAAATCTCATTGATAGTTCTACAGAAGGTGACGATCTTATCCTGAATGCATATAGTTAGATCGTGGTTGATGTTACTATCCTAATTGCTAATTAGGTACCGCGAAGACTTATTTTAATAAAGAAATCTCGTTTAAATCGTTTCAACGAGCTGTTGCTTCTGCGGTCTGTACACGACTGCCAGCTTTGAGCTTTTATTGTAATGTTTTATCTTTATTCTTAGGCTAAGCTTATACATGTAGGTTATAATTAGGGGTATACAAATAGTTATAGTAATAGTAATATTGATAGAAATAGTAATAGAAATAGTAATAGTAATAGTAATAGATATAGTTATAGTAATAGTAATTGGATATGTGACTCCCCCACGACAAGTTTCTGCAATCTTAATTGTAGAAATTTATAAATTGTAATTACATGTATAACTCTTATAAACTTATTTTAATTTTGGAATGTGTATTTTCTTTTGACTTGGTCTTTGTATATTTTTGCGTTTGCGTCTTCATTTGATATTAGGTAGTTTCCATCTTGATGATAGTTTTGTACTAGCTTATACTTAGGATTTGATTTACCAATTTTATAATTTTTAACATAATCATTTTCAAAATTTTCCCTATTAATATTATTATTTTTTAAATTTAAGAGTTCCTTATTATGTTTGATTTTTTTTCGCGATGTTTTGTTGTTGTTCTGCACTTAGGATGTTGTTTAGGAAATCGATTGGTTTCATCTTTGTAATAGAGTGAATAGTATTATTATAGCATACCATTGCTTTAAATACTTTATTTTGAATCGTATCATTGTTTTTCTCGTCTGCATTAAAAAGTCGGATGTGCTCATTTAATGTCAAGTGTAGTCTCTCAACATCTGAGTTCCCTGTTTTTTTATACGGTGTCGTGAAATGGATTTCTATATTATTATCTATAAGAAATTGTTTTATGCAATTTATATTAAATTCATTATCCGTTATAATAAGCTTGGGCTTGCCTAAGTACTGAATTCTCTCTTGTATAGCCTTTAGCAATGAAACCCAAGATCTATCTTTAATATAACAAGCAGTAGCGTATTTTGTGAATTTGTCTATTGTAGTAAGATACATAATGTTTCGCATGGGGAACCAAATATCTAGATGGATTATCTCGTTGTGTTGCGACGGGGTATCGGTTATGTTTAGCTTATATTTTAGGGGGCTTCGATCATATTTGGCCAAGTTACAAATTTTACAATTATTAACATATTTCTGAATTTCTTTCTGAAGATTCGGATAGTAATACATTTTTTTTATTTCGGCAAAGATTTCGTTAATACCTCTATGGTTGTTTTTTTAAATGTTCTTCATTTATTACTTTTAAAATTTGTTCTTTATCTGTTACATCTTTTAGCAAAATAAACGATCTTATTAGTTTTAAATTTTCGTTGCATGCAAAGTATTGTCTGTAACATTCCTGGAATTTGACGTACAAATTAACGTCTTCGCAATAAATGGCTACTAGGCCTTTATCTGGTAAGATTTCCTGCATTAATTCCAAAATGGTGGACTTATTTCCTATTGTTTCTATAATGTGTCTTATTTTTCGTTTATACAAGATTTTGGTGGCTCGCGATTCCTTTTGCGATACTTTTAGTATTATTTGCGACTTATATATGTTTAACGCGTTATCTGTATTTTTTATATAGTTTAAGTTATCGGATTGAGCACTGTGGATGGTTTCACAATTAGTGGATTGATTTGAAAAAAGGTTTATTAGGTCTAGCGAAAAGTCATTGTTCAGCTCGTCAATTGTTTCGGCGGCTTGCATTGTATTGTCGAGTTCGCCTACCAATATACAAGCTTCATTCAGCTGGATTAGATCACTTCTATTTGCTTCGGGACAATCTAACAAATTATTATCAGTGCATATCCTACTTAGTCCGTCTGCTAAAGCATTTTCTTTTCCTTTAATGAAGGCCATATCGAAATCATATTCGTTTAGTTGAATTTTCCATCTCTGTAGCTTTAAATTGGGTTCTTTTAAGTTGTTTAGCCATACTAGTGGGCGGTGGTCGGTTTTTATTAAAAACTTTCTCCCGTATAAATAGTAATGAAAATATTTGACGCCCCAGAAAATAGCTAGAAGTTCCTTTTCGATCGTGCTATAGTTCAGTTCGTGGGTTTTTAAAGTACGGCTGGCATAACATATTACTTTGGTATCCTGCATTAGCACCGCTCCCAAGGCATGGTTGCTAGCGTCTGTAATAAGTGTAAACTGTTTTTGAAAGTCAGGGTAGGCTACAATTGGTTCGCTTTTAATTAAGACTTTTAGCTTTTCAAAAGACTCTATAAATTCTAAATCGTTTGTATTAATTTTAGAATTTTTTTTCAGGTATTTTATTAAATGTTTTGCAATTTTAGAGTAATCTTTTATGTATCGCCTTAAGTAGCTAGTCATGCCCAGAAAACTTTTTATTTGTTTTTGCGTTGTTGGCAATTTAATCCTATCGATTGCCTCAACTTTATTTTTGCTGGGTTTCAGACCGTCTGAATTCAAAACGTGCCCTAAAAACTCTATTTCGCATTTGGCAAACTCACATTTGTCAATTTGAAGCTTTAAGTTTGCATTCTCCAAGCAATTTAATATTTTGGTAAGATGCTCAATATGTTCTTCGATTGTTTTCGAAAATATAAGAATATCGTCCATGTACACAATAAAAAAATGGTCTATATAGTTTCTGAGTAAATGGTTCATAAGCTGTTGGAAGGTTGCGGGGGCATTTCGAAGACCGAATGGCATACGCAAAAATTCGTAGTGCCCGCTAGCAGTTGAAAATGCCGTCTTTTGGATATCGCCCTCGCTCATTTCAATTTGATAGAAACCCTTTGCCAAGTCTAAGGAAGAAAATATTTTACATCCGTCCAGCTTATGAAATATCTCATCTATATTAGGAATAGGATAACGATCCTCAATTGTTTGCGAGTTTAATTTTCTGTAGTCGACAACGAGTCGCCATTTCGGTTGATTTGATTTATCCAATTTCTTTTGGACAACCCATAAGGGACTGTTGTACGGACTATTCGAATGTCTTATTATTCCTTGTTTTAGCATATCGGATATTTGTTTATTTACTTCGTCATTATGGGCCTCGGGATACCTATAAGCTTTCGAATAGATAGGAATATCATTTTTTGTATGAATTTTGTGTTTAACTTCACTCGTAAAGGTTAAATTATCTCCTTCTTTATAAAATATACCTTCAAATCGTTTTAAAACTGGAGTGAGTAGTTTCTGATAAATAGGATTTAGATATTCTAGCGGCACGCTATGGCTAGTGTTCACTTCCGGACTATTTAACGTATTTGGGTGCCTTGTGTAGAAGTTTAGTTTAACGTTATTCAAAGTAATTGTCTGTTCTGAATAGTTTATTATTGCGTTTAAATCATTTAATATGTTGCCTCCTATTATGCCATCGAATATATCGTGGAAGTTGTATTCCAAGAACTCACACGAATAATTATTTGCTCCAAATTCTATAAATGAAGGAAACCTACATAGTTTATGTATCTGAATAATATTTCCCATTGCTTTTACTTGTACTTCGATGTTTGATTTCCATTTTGGGTGGCATATGTTTTCATTTATGATACTGAATTCCGCTCCAGTATCGATAATGAATAGGAGGTCTCTTTTAGATGATCGAAGTTTTATATAGGGTAGTCTTGCTGGTCCCCTAATTGAAAATTTGTATTAATATTACCTATGTCCATTTGACCTACCGAATTATTATTTTGAGTGTTACGGCTAGCTACCTGTTGAGGCTGGATAGTGTTATAGGACATTCTAGAATTTCTAGATGGATTAGCGGCATAATTGTTATTATAACTGGTTCTATTTTCATACCTATTTGTATTTTGCCTGTTGAAACTGCCAGGATTTTCCTCTATTTGTGGTTGATTATGGTATCCATTTGGAGTTCTTTCATTTTGATTGTTACTATCGTTACTGAAATATTTTCTAAAAGGGGGTTTGTTGCTAAATTGTTTTCGAATTGGTCCATACAAGGTATAACTTTGATGGCGGGCATCTTCAATAATTTTGTATGCGTCGTCCAATGATGGAGGGTTTCTGGCAAAAATCATTGTTTTCGTTGGTTCAGGAAGATTGTCCCTAAATACTCTAAGTGAAATTCTGTTTACTTCTTGAGTGGTATACGTCCCGTCAGAGTGTGTTAATATTCGATTGTGCAGTCTATTGGCAATTTCATTTATTTTGTCGTAATATTGCTCTATTGTGGATTCTATTCTACATAGTTTTAATGCGTCCATCAATTCGTCACTACTTTCCTTTTCCCCAAAATGTTTTATTAGTATTTCTTTTAGTCTTTCCCAAGACGTAACGTTTCCGTACCTATGCAAAACGGGTCTTACTAGTCCACAACATTTATTTTTTATATAGTTAAAGAGGACTTTTCTCGATTGCTCGTCGAACACTTGAAAACATGGCATTAATTCGTTGATTTGATTTATAAAGTCGGGAAGCTGGTTTTTATCTGAGCCATCAAAATCTTGGATATTTTTAATACAATTTAAATAAAGAGTAAATGATGCGGTTACTTCGGAATTCATTTTTTTAGGCCTAGTTTTTTTTTTTTCTTAACTTAAATGTAAATGTAAATTTAGTAAATGTAAAATTAGAACTTACTTAAGATTAACAAAGACTTCTGGATCGTGAAAAGAAAGTAATACACAATGATAGATTTTACGACTCCAGTATTCCTAGGCGGAAGCTTTTCCTCTCAGAATACTTTTTTTTGACCAGCGCTGTCTCCTCCGAAGTCCAAAATAATGCGAAATAGATGATACCGTAAATGATGACGTCGACAACGATGGTAATTGCTAGAGCTCGTAAGATCGAGGGGAAGGGAAAGGAACTAGTATCTCCCACTCTTTCTACCGTGCCTGAGTCATGGCACAATTATACAAGGTAGTCTCGTCGGCTGCAAAATCGCTCGGGTTTTTTCCCCCTATGGTTCAGTGCGCTCGGGATTTCGAAGTAAGAGGTTGTCCGCGGACGATTTTTTCTCAAAACGTTAACCCTTGTGTGCTTGTGAAAAATACTTGTTGCAATTATTGCAGCAAACACATACAAGGCGTAACATGTAATATTGCAGAAAAATATTTTGAAATGTGAACAATATGGGAGCGAGTCCTGAGGGCAGCTTTGTGTAAAAACCAAAAATTTCGGAAAAATTAATACTCATGGTCATATAACAGTCCTTTCAAACCCCGTGCACAGCATAAGGGTAAAACGACATCATCTTCTTGTTTCTTTCGCACTTACGGGAAAACACCCTCTCACTCGCACTCATTGTAGCGCCCAATAGGGGGAAAAAAAGCCGACGAGACTACCTTGTACTTAATCAAAACTGTTTGTTTCTTACTTCAGTTATCATAAACCAATTGTATCAGTTGTAAAAATTTGCGATGATGATTCTGATAATAACGATGGTGTAAAAGTCGTCGAAATTATGGATGGAAGTTGATTTTTCTGAGAGATAAAATTTAATGTAATATATAAATAACGATATAATATTTTAAATAACAACATATAAATTGTCATATTTGTGTACGATAGCGCAATAAATAAACATTGTTTTCTACCTCTCTCATAAATGATAGTACTTTTATACTTATAATCAGGGCTAACAGAGTTATGTTCTTAAAAACGTAAAAATATGTATGGATTTATGGACGAAAAAATATAGAAATATGGACGAAATATGGACGAAAAAGTTGACAAATATGGAATAAAATGGATAAATATAGATAAATATAGGTAGTATAGACGAAAAAAGGGATAAATATATGTATAAAAATGGATAAACGTAGACGATTATATCGATCATATTAACTTTTTATGACAATGAACAATTAGAAATCGATACAAACAAAAGTGCGCCGTTTGTATCAAAGATCATTGCAGAACAATATGACATGTTGTGTCAGATTAGTAAAAACAAAACTACGGCGTTTGGCACTCAATATGTGTTTATATGATGAAAATGAACGCTCAACATCGCAAGATGTAACAGGAGCATTTGCATATGCATTCAGGATAAGATCGTCACCTTCTGTAGAACTATCAATGAGATTTCCTGCTAACATTCGCGATATGCATGAAACGAAAGCATGAAATATGGAATAAAAACTGAATCATAAAATATAAACTGCATCATTATTGTTACATTCGATGATACATATTTGGATTGATTAATTGATTGAAAAAAAGTCGAAAATATGGAAATAAATATTTTTTCATTTAAAAACATAACTCTGTTAGCCCTGGTCATAACAAACTATAGGACAGTTTTACATATTTGCACTGAATTATAATATTCTATAACAAAGCAAAGAATTTTTCCTGATACAAAATTAGGCAAGAAAGTACTTTGTGTTACCTGATTTTCGTTTTTTTTCTTAAAACTGCAACTGTATTGAATTTCTTTGGTCGAATGAAAGTTCTGATGACGGAGCTTGTTCAGTAACCTCGAAAACGTAGGTAAAATAATTTTGAAGCGTATAATACTTTAACTTAATCTACAACAAAACAGCTAACTGTTTCGGTTGATAAATGAAACAATAACGCAATTTTTCACCTTTATGCAAAAACGAACGTTAAAATTGAATAATTATTCGGAGTGAGATATATGGGGATGTTGGTAATAGAATTCTCTACGACACCAAAAAGGAATTTTTTTACATTTCTTGCCCCACGGTACCGTTATAAAATTTCAAAGGTGAATAAAAATGCTAAAAATGCGATTTTATTGAACAAAATTTCCTACACTTTTGGCCATAACTTGTGATAGCAATAAGCTAGAAAACGTCAAATGGACTTAAAAGTTGCGTAATAGTATTACCTTTAAAACAAAGTAATGATAAACTCTATCGGATAAAAATTGTAGCTAATACTTGTAAGAAAGTCGGAGTCATTTTTTGAAAAATGGGAAAAATGGAAAATTGCCTCTACTGCGAAATTTCTACAACTTACTAACCCTTTTTTAAATTTTTTTTGTAGTCTTTCGTCACCCCTGATCCAAAAAAAAATACACCGTCCCCGTTGCAAAATCTTTGTAAGACAGTGTAATTAATTAATTAAATTAATTATATAATTTTCAAAACTTTTTTATTAATTTAATTAAAATATTAAACTAAAAAATTTGTTTTCAATTTTCAGCATTCCTTTTTTATTAGAAAATTTAGTAGATTAGAAATAAAATGTTTAAATATTATCAGCTTTATTATCAAGTTAAAAAGGAAAAAGAAGAATTAGCTAGAAGGCTAAGATTAGCAGAAGGAAGTCAGGGAGAAGAAAACGTTGAAGTTAGCGCTCAGGGTAATGAGAATTTTACGCAGGAAGATGTAGAGCTAGAAAGTTTAGATGAAGATCCAAGTCAGGAAGCAATTGAAAGCATGGAGGTAGAGCAGGGTCAGGAGGATCTTAATTATAAGCTTAGGAAGTGGTTTGTTAAACACAAGCCCAAGCGTAGCTGTGTAATAGAATTAGTAAAAATTTTGAATGAAGAAAATTTAAATGTTAGGACATTTTATAAATTTAATTGTACTGAAAAGCCAAATATTATGCAAGTTGGAGGTGGTTCCTATTTGCATATTGGCCTTTCAAAACAATTAAATAAACTTGATGTAGTTCCGGAACTACCGGATGTATTAAGTATTGACGTTAATGTTGACGGCCTTCCATTATTTAAAAGCTCACGTGCACAATTGTGGCCCATACTAATTAGAGTAAATAATATAAATAAATGTCCGGTTTTCCCCGTAGGAGTTTTTTTCGGGCCAAAATAAGCCATCCAATTCAGATGAGTATTTGTCTAGATTTACTAGGGAGTTGTCCGATGTAATGGAAAATGGTCTAACCATTTTAAATAAAAACATTAAAATTGATCTTAGAGCTCTTGTGTGCGACACTCCTGCAAGGGCATTTGTTACAGGCACACCTGGACATACATCCAGTTATGGCTGTACCAAATGCACTCAGGTGGGACGCAAAATAGATGCAACGTTAACATACAGCACTTCTTGTGCTGATTTAACTACAGATGTTGACTTTGCAGGTAGGAAATATCCAAATCATCACCAGAAAGATTACTTAGGCTCTCAGTCCGCTTTCGAAAAACTTGCCATCGGTATGGTTACACAAGTTCCCTTGGATTGCATGCATCTCATTGAGTTGGGTGTAATGCGTACATTTTTTGAAAGAATCTATTATAATAAAGTAATAAAAAAAATTTCTAAAGAAAATAAAATGAAGATGTCTGATACATTAACGTCAATGCGGGGCTACATACCTGGGGAATTCTTACGCAAGCCTAGAACATTGTTGGAACTTCCCAATTGGAAAAGCACTGAATTTCGCCAATTTTTATTGTACACTGGAATTGTAGTTTTTAAAGATACAATCCATGAAGAGCAGTACTATATTTTTTTGCTATTGCATTGCGCATATAGACTGCTCAGCTCACAAAAAGAGTTATGTTAATGTTAAATTTATTTGTTGAAAATTTCCCCATTGTCTTCGGCGAAAACAGTGTTTCCTACATTGTTATGGCCTACTCCATGTGAGAGAGACTGTAAATCAAATCGGAAATCCGATTGCAGGTTCCTCTTACGCGTTTGAGAATTACTTGCAGTTATTAAAAAAGTGGTCCGAAAGCCAACAAATATTCTAGAACAAATTTATAGAAGAACGGTAGAGGAAACGTATGTAGCTCCAGAAAGGAAAGAAATTAAGTTAGAAGGCAGGTTTCTTAAAATTAAAGACTGTAGGCTTAGCGATAGGAAACCAGACAATTTTTGTTTCGTTGGGGATGAGATCCCAATACAAATAGAGTCCTTTGAGGACAATGAAGGAGAAATATTTTTATTAGGTAGGGAATTCAATGATAAAACAAACTTTTTTGATGCGCCCTTAAGGTCGTCAAGCTTAGGAATTTATTTAGTAAATTTCAGAACGCTGATGAGCGTTAAAAAATTTTCAGTTAGGGAATTTAGGAGAAAGGCTGTAGTTATGCCTTTCAAACAGGAAGCAGTTTTAGTTCCATGCTTGCACTTTTCTTAGGGATTTTTAGGATTTTGGAGGTGTTTAGTCCGTAGGCGTAATTTAATTACGAATCGGGCATATTTAAAGCGACGGCGCTTTAAATATCTTTTGAAGATTCACCTTCCATGGTTCGAAACCAAAAAAAAAAAAAAAAATTAGGAAGTTTCAATTTATAAAACAATGATTTTAATTATGTTCTTTTTATTTCCTTAGAATGTCAGAGCCACCGAACAAAATTCGCCGTATCGACTTTTCCGAGTCGGGTGAGTATAAATTCCATTACACAACACTGAAATTAAAATATTATTTTACTATTCACAGATCATCCATCCGTATCTCGTGAGTTTCATGATTTTTTTTTTAATTTTTGATTACCTATTTAAATTTTTTAACAGATTCATGTGAAGAAAGAATAATCCTGTGCGAAGAAAGGATACTTTCCGCATTAAAAGGTATTAATTGCTATATATATTAATATATATAATCCTTTCTAAATAAATTTATTTACCATTTCAGAACAAAACATCTATCTTGCGGAGCAAAATGCGGCTTTGCACCGCAAGATAGATGTTTTGGCCGAGAAGCTGGCGGAGAACACGGCAGTAGTGAAGCTTAAGATAAAAGCGGAAGAGAAGACGGTGGATACAGGGGTTCCCTTCCCCCTCAAGACGGAGGACGACATAGAGCTCTTCGAGAGCTCTATGACACCTGAGCGGCGGGAGTTTTACGTAAGTTTTTTTATACTGTAAGAGTAAAGATTTTAACTTTTTATCATTACAGAAAGCAAAAATTACTAACTTCGCAAAGAAGGATAACTTCGCAAAAGTTTTGCGAAAAAGAGGTTCAAAAACTTTACAAACCTCTTTGCTATTTTGAAAGGTAAACAAATGAACAATATTTTTCATTTATTTTAATAAATTATTCAAAGCAGCAATTTTAATAAATATCTTTTTATATTTTCAGACGTCTCACAAGAGGTATTTCCCCTTGAGGATGGCGAAAAAATAATAAGAAAGGCGATGCAAAACGCAAAAAATAGCATTTGCAAAAAAAATAGTAAAATTAATTTTAATTTTAATAATACTTTATAATAATAAAAATGTAAAATTATAATAATAAAATAATAATAATAATAATAAAAATGTAATATAATAATAATAGTAAAATAATAATATTTATAATAATAATAACGACAATAATAAAAATGTAAAATAATAATAATAATAATTAGAATAATAAGTCATATAAATAATATTTATAATTAAAAAAAATGTTTAAAAACTGTATTAAAAATGTGTTTTTTTTAGTCATTCCTCTTATGAAAATAGGTATGACTTTCCAAAAAAATGTATTGGGGAATTCATATAGGAAATTGTTTAAAAATTCATCGACGAATTCCCAAAGGGCATCCTCGCAAAAGCTTTCGAGGAAAACCCCGCTTCCACTTCCGCTACGAATTCCTCTATGCCTTATACAATTTTTTTCCCATACAAAATTCGTATAAGGCACCAAGGAATCGTTCGATGAAACGGTCAAAAAGGTTTTAAAAATTTTTTTTTTGCATTTTTTTTTTTATTTTTTTTTCTGAATGATCAATATGTCGAGAACATTGTGTAAAAATTTTGAGTCAAATAAAGTCGAACTAGCGGAGTTACAGCGTTTTAAACAACCGTATTTGGACGTATTTTCACGTAAAAAAATACTTTGAATCGATTTTGCCGAAGACGCTATTTTGAAAGTCGGTGAACATCAGAACTCAAAATCTACTGAACCGATCCTTTTCAAATTTTTAACACAAATTCTCAATATAAATACGCAGGTAATCAGGAAGAGTTTTTTTTAATTTTTAATTTTTTTCTATTTTTAAAAAATAAATTAACAGCGATTTTTTAAGCTAAAATCGCACTTTTCACTTTCAAGTGCTCCCAAAAAAAAACAAAAAATAAATTTTAAAAAAACTCTTCCTGATTACCTCGGGAAATTCATTATCTTTACAACGCATATCACATTTTATTTTAAAGATGATCCGTTAACGCCCTATGATGTTCACCGCAAAACAACTTTTTCTTAAGGCGCTTCGGAAGATTAACCGCCACAGGCTTATTTCTTAATATTTTTTAATAAATTTTTTTTTCTAATACTCTTCAAAAGTTAAACAATAACAAGTAATTAAGCTCAATAAAACAAACTTATTCATTTCGCCGCAAAAAGATCAAACATGGCCCTTTTTTTGGCCTTTAAAACCTTACCCCCCCCCTTAAGGTAACTTCGCTGGAAATTAAAAGCCACTGACTTATCAAACCGCCCTCGTACCTTTCTCAAAGCATATGCTCTGAGTGCTCTTTTATTTTTGTAAATGCTCTGAAAGCAAGCCGATATGCTTTTCTATAAGCTTACTTAATCTGGGCGATATTAACTAACTAACATAAACCTTTTCCCTTCTCTCAGTGCAAAGTTGTAAACAAAACTAAAAGCGTCGTTAAATGTGTGTACGTTTTCTTTTATTGGTGTGATTAAATGCTCTGCTGTAAAACGGATTCGAGCACTTTTGTATGACAAGGGTGTGTTTCAAAGTTTTGGTTTTAAATGCCAGAAAAAATTTGATCGCAATGGGCAAAATCGGAGCAAGTCTTTATTTAAAAATAAAAAAACGTGATTCCGACTTGGACTTCAACTACAGTACTTCCTGCAATGTAATAATAAAAGTTGCGCTATAATCGTTGGTAGCAGCCAATTAGATGACAATATATATTTCTATTTATCCCGGCCAATTTGACTTTGGGCCAATGACTTTTCCAATACATTTATTATTTCGTCCAGTTTTTCGGTGTTAATTTGAAATACCAATGCATTTTCTATGCTTAAATGACGAAATGACAAATTTACAGTTGCTTGTTGATAAAAGTTTCCTCCAAAGCGGCTATCTCCTAATATGAGCCGTGTATCCCATCCGAAATATTCTAAAATATTTTGTGTTTTGGAGTACTCCCAATGCTCAAAATGCCTAGTTACTTCAAGCTGACGTGCTGCAAAAACAATAGGCACAAGCCGACTCATTTCAGGAGTAATGGAGGAAGGAGGGGGTATTACGTTTTCACGTTTGTTAGTTTTTAAAGTGAAGTCCTTGTAATATTTTGACATCGCTTTTGTAACCATCAGAAAATCTTCCGCATTTTTAAATCCGTACTTGTGGGAAGAGCGAAGAGTTTGTTTGTCATTTATATTCCCAATCATGTAATCTATAGCCAAATGTAGAATCTTGTAAAAAATATTTTACTGCCAAGCATATAAATTCATTCATTGTTTGCTTACATTAATAAATATTTCCTTATTATCGATGCATTTTAATACGTCCATATTTAAGCTCTGCTATATCATCACTCGTACACCTTGTTCCACAAAATAATCTAAAACATACACTGAACAATCTCTATTGAATGCGAATTTTTACCTTTCTGTCACATCGATAGTTTTTTGTCACTATCGATGGGGTTGGCCAGTTTTCACATCACTGACATTAGCACAGAAGAGGCACAGTAACCAGTAACTAAAAATTTAAAGAGCATTCGTTGCCTCGAATAAAATGCAAGGCTTCTGAAAACCACCGAACTCCATTTCAGTTTCTTAAAAAAAAAAAAATATTGATGAGTTGCCAAAGGCAAAAGACCAGACGCAACTATTGAACTTCGACAGTATTTTTATTTTTTTATTACTCAGTCAAAGAATAAGATTTGAATTTTGTTGTTTTGCTGATTTCCGTTTAAGTTATTAATGTTTGGTAAATCATACTGAATTAATACAATAGTGTTTTTTTCTTGTATATCTGCCTCTAGTTATATAGCCCTAAAGCACTTAATATTTAAAATGCGAAATATAAATTCAAAGTGGCTTTTAATTTGATTTTTTTTATAAAAAACCTTCGATTGTTTTCTTTTCTAGCACCTACCACAACACAAAAGAAACATGCAGAGCAATTTCCTTAGCTAAAAATTTCCGGTTTATAGTAGATTTCCACAGAGCACCATCCATACCGCTCTATCTTTAACAGGCATTTTCAGACTTTATTTACGAAAAAGCAAAATATTAATATAACAATCAGAACACATAATTTTTTCGATGCATTATGTACAGTAAAAAAACAGGGAATATTCATTTCCATATATTAAGGGGTTACATGGGTTTCACGGTTTCAAAAAATCGATTTTTTTTTTTGTCTTATTAAATTCTATAACATTTCTAGAATATTGTCCTAAATTTTCAAGTTGATCCGAGTAATAGTCTCGGAGATACAGCCTTGAGAAGGTGGACGCTTGAGACCACTTTTATTGTCTCTTAAAACTTTAAACGCGTTTTTCTCAAAACTATGTTTTCAAAGTCGGTTGTCAAAATTTCTCGCAAACTACTCAACCGATCTTAATGAAATTTTACACAAGTATTCGAGATATCATTTACAAGGTATTGAACGAAGGATTTTTTTTTTTCAATTACAACTATTTAAAAAAAAAAAAGTCGAGAAATTTTCATCGAAATTTGCATTTTTTTGTAAAAACGTCTGCCAAAAATCCAATTTTCATTTTTTTTTTCCTTCGTCCAATACCTAGTTTATTGTCTATACTGAAACACGTTTTTTTTATTTTTACTTTGGATGATCCCGAAAGAAGTTCTGCTGACAACGCGGAGGCACCTTTTTTCCGAGGGACTGCCGGAAATGGCGTCGTAATGGCCGACATTTTGATATTTTTTTTTTGAAAATTTCACAAAATCTTTATTAAATATGTATCTTTTAAATAATAAAAAGTTTCATTGAAATATTTCATTTTTTATATGCAAAAAAATGTTTGAAAAAAGGCCGTTTTTTACCCGACGAAACCCATGTAACCCCTTAAGGTCAAAATATTAATAACTTTTTTTAGTTTTTTGGCGAACTAATTTATCAGTCTTGTCTATATTTATACAAATCTAGAACTGTAGATTTCCGAGACTTAAAGAAAGGGAAAAAGGAAGATATGTTAGGAATTTAATTGTCATTAAAATATTAAGTGTTAAAAATTAATATAAATTATAAATTTAGTTTTGTTAAATTTATTTCTTTAATATTTACATTATTACCGCGATTTCTATAGGCATTGTTTTTAAAAAATATTATTAAATTAAAAATCATCGTTTTTTTTTTGTAAATAGTAAAAATACCTGACCTAAATTTAAATTTATACAAAATCATTGTAAACTAATAATAACTATAGAAATTACAGGTTTTAAATTAAAATTTTGTCAAGAGATTTTATGAAATATTAGAACTTACATTATAATATTAGAACTTATTAATTAAATTTTGTTTCTGAACTTAAATTTAAGAAATGCGAATTTATCAAATATTTTATTTTATGGAAAATAATTTATTGAATTACTAAATGACGAGTGACAACTTAAAATGCAACATGTTATTTGTAAATATTAAAACTACCTAACCTTAACACCAATTGTAAATAAACAAAAAGATAACAGATATATTACTTATTCCGAGTATCTACTTCGTACAGGACGACTTTAAAATCTATCACAAAATATTATTCATAAAGTTTATTTATTAATGTAGAGAATTGCTTCTTGACTCCAATTCATTTGATAGATGTATAATAATATAAGCACTTTATTTAATATACATAGATATGATATGCAGCTTTTACAGTTTTTCCACTTCGTTTTACAAATTTATTTTCTTATAGAACACACGACCTTCTTCCTTTCAAGCTAATTCTCTACTCACTCAATTTCTTACATTTCCTTCTCTTTACGCTCCCTTCTGTTAAACCTAATGCTAAGAATCAGATGTTCTGTTAAATAAAGATTTCTGGAATCGCTCATAAGATATGGCAATCCTACATAAATTTAACTCACTGTTTATATACTGCATAATGCTAATAATATTGTAAATAGATGAAAAATCTGCGTTTACTGCAAATGACTTTATGCGACAGATTTGCCATCTAAAGCTCTAATAATTGACTAGTAAACGAATACACAAACCAATATAGCATTATTATTATTATTATTTCTCAATATCCATTATTCTCTCTCTCTCTTTCAGAGGTGCTCTCTGGCACCTCTCGCTCCATGGCCCTGTGCGTGATACGACAATTGCTCTTTCTCACTTTTTCTCTCGATCTTTCTCACTTGCTTGCTTCCTATTCTGACCCCATCGCTAGTTGCTGCCATGGTACAATCATGGTACAATTATACAAGGTAGTCTCGTCGCCGGCAGAATTTTTCGGGCTTACTCCCCCATTGCTTAGTACGCTAGGTTTATCGGAAGTGAGAGGTTGTGCGCGGACAATTTTTTTCTCAAAACGTTATGTGCTTATGAAAAAATACTTGTTGCAATTGCAGCAAGCACATGCAAGGGGTTACATTTATTATTGCTGAAACATGTTTTAAAGGGGGAACAATATAGGAGCGAATCCTAAGGGGCAGCTTTGGGTAAAAACCAAAAATTACGGAACAGTTAATTTTCATTATTATATACCAGTCCTTTTATTAAAAAAAGGTTTAAGGTATTGCTTTTTCTCCTTCTCTGTCGCAGAACGAAAATCCCCAAAATATTACAGGGGCATACATTTATTCTTGCCCATCCCATCGACGCCTTAGAAGTTTCACTTCAAAAAAGGAATATATAGGTAATATATATAAATTTCATATAATGAACAACAGATAAATTACAAATTAACAGTCACGGACAGGAGGGGTAGGAACACATAGAAAGATGTGCAATGGAGTACTTAAATTCTAAGGTGAAAAAGGGAAGCGAAACATAAACTTTTTCGAAGTAAACCATTAACAAAAATAAATGGAACAGCTCTATATAAGATGCAATAAAGCGCTTGCTTCTTATCCCGCTCTGCAAAAGAGCTGAAGGGAACCTTCATCTACTGGCAATGATCTTTTTTCTTCTAAAACAAGCTTAAAGGAAAATTTTTTAGCACATTATCACTACCGATTGGGTTTAGCCAAATTGGCAAGGATGTGACTGATGATATATGCTTATCTTTAATTGATTTATTTTTCCTCTGGAGGAAATATTTAGATTCAGCATTGTCTGCAATGAGTTGAGAAAATTCGCTTTAAATCCACATATATCTGAAAGTTAATGTTGTTTATGGAAATCAGCTGTTCTGCCCTCTTGATACTACCGGTAGCTGTGTGGACCATAGCAACTCTGACGATGCCGTCCTTGCCGAATATGACTTTTTGAATGCGTTCAATTGTCCTCCTTCAACAACAAGATTCTTCCGACCTTGATGATGGAAGCTTCGAAACGTCATTTTCTCCTTTCTGGGCGAATTGGTCAGGCCTTTCAGCGTTTTCTGAAATTGGACAGAACGGACGTGAAGTAAGAATAGCAGAATATCGTATGCAAGAGCTCTCAATTCATCGAGGAATAAAGGTATGAACTTAAAATCTATTCCACGAAGAAGCTTTCGAAGCTGTATGTGGTTCGCTCAAAAATAGTTCCTTCAACTCGCCTAACTCGCTCTTAGCGCCGACAAAGATTGTCGCATTATCACTCCAGATAGATCGCAGACTGCCTCTGAGGCTGATGAATCTACACAAAGCTGCTAAGAAGGTATCTGTTGTGAGGTTCTGGACAACTTCCAAGTGAACGGCCTTCGTGGAAAAACAACCAAAGACGGCGATGTAGAACTTGTGCGGTGCCTTGTTCTGGGACTCTGGTTTATAATAGAATGGCTCACAATAGTCCACTCCTGTCGTATGAAATTCTGGGTTAAGATGAACTCGATTCGCTGGAAGACTACTCATGACGTGCTCCCAAGTCACAGCCTTCATCTGCATCTGACGCATTTGTTGATGACGGTAGCCACGAACTTTCGACCTCCAATCGGCCAATACTTTTGTCATAATGTGGCAAGCAACGCCTGCGATCCTGCGTGCATGTACTTTTTTATGAAAATACACGATAATTGCCTTGGTGACTGCATGGTCCTTGGAAAGCCATTTTTGATGCCGTTTCGTAGTCCAAGTTTGCATTCTGAAGCCTTCCACCCTTGTGAAGTAATCTACCGGAGCCAAGTATTGGCCTCAGAGAAATCAGCTTGCTCTTCTGTGGACCAGTGCTGCCAGATGTACGTACATATTTATACGCATTGTACGTATTTTTCGGCTCAGGCCGACTATGTACGTATTAAATTAAAGGGATTTTTAGAAGTAACAATTCTCTATTAAATTTTATACTCTAAAGTGCGGTATTTCCATACACCTCAATGATTCGTAAAATAATACAGAACCCTATATATATATATATATATATAAAGAAAAATCGATGAGTTGCATATATGCAACATGCGACTCATCGATTTTTCGAGAGGTCTACTAGAGAGTATTTAATCCTCTCTGATGTACCTATATATATACTGACAGCGTGTCTGTCCTTGTCTTACACATTGAGTATTAGCGGTCATCTTGGGTACGTATTTGTACGTGTTTTCAGAACGCTCTCCCCACTACTTTTCTCGCTCCCTACGTATTTCTTGAACCATGAACCTGGCAGCACTGCTGTGGACACGGCTTGCTCTGGCTAAGAAATCCATACTCCTTGGCTAAGTGAACCTGCTGGATACTCCTCAGAAGAAATACGGTTCCCAAGTAGATTTCCTCAAAGGAAAGACGGCCATTTAAAGGTGAAATTCGAAAAAAAAAAAACGATATAATACGCAAATACACGCTGCAACTTATCAAACAAGTTAGAGAATTTGCAGTTAGTAGAAATGTAACTTAAACGGTCTCAATTAGCGTCACGAAACGACGCTCCCGAAGAGCGTTACTACATCTAGCAGGGACGGCCATTCCGATGAGCCTTACAGAAGAAATGGATGTCCGTTAGGGAATGCTCTAACAATTTCGTAGGGGTAAAGCCTCGCGACACGATATCCGGCAGATTGAGATTGGTTAAAACATGAGATTCCCCGGACTAAGATTGGTTGGATTGGAGGTTGCCGAATCCACGCCAACACAATAGAAGGGTCAGACCAGCAATAAAAGGCGCAATCGAAATCTATGGTTTTCTTGACGTTAACTCAGTTAATAAAAGTGCTGCTGAAAATTCTAATCTTGGAATTGTTAAGGCCTTCAAGAAGGCCACTCTCGACTGGGCGCAGAGCAAATAAATTTTTGTACCTTCATTGTCAAGGGAAGGTTTTTCTAACCCAGCGAGGAGAACTCATTCGAGGGAACGCATTTCACGAACTCCGGCAGTCGTGGAAAAGGCTCAGGCGCTGATTTTGGAGGACCCGGGACAATCGTTGCGGAAATTGGCATCAGTATTGGGTGTCAGCGAGCGAACCATGCGTCGGATTGCAGAGGAGGACTATGACTATGTGGCGGGAAATTCAAATTCAAATTTGTCCGGAGTTAAGCGCCGCACCCTGTATATGCACGCTCTATAAGCTGATATGCTAGCATCGCAGAACGGATGCTTGCGGTCGCGTAACGAGTCGGGGAAGTTTTAAGTTCTGGACAATCGATAACTGAGAGGTCAACTCCCCCCATGACGAAAGAATGGGCTCTGGCAATATGTCATCCCAATCCACATTATCTTTCCATAGAGATTGCAAAGAGATTTTCAATTTCGTAACAATTGAAGTTATTAATTTGAGTGGATCATAAAACTTGCCTTTTGTTGACAAGGCAATTTGGTGACTTGATGACTTGACGATATTTATGAAAAATTGAATAGGAATTAATCAAAAAAAGGATCCCAAACTAGCTCCAATGCCATGGCGATTTCTGATCCATCGTAATCCATCGAAGTCCGTCGGCTATTTAAGATTGCTATGCAGAATGTGGGCGCGACACTAGAGCGGATTAAGTAGACTATAATTGCAGAAAGTTGAAGAGTGGGACGGATGATGGAGACGAAAATGAGTTAGATAATGCTGAGGCGTCCGTGGCCATATGCAATAATGAGTGATGCTTCATGCGACAATATCTCCAATGAGTTGCCTTACATTGCTGCAAAGTATGCCCCTTGCAAAACAGTTAAAGCTTCTATAAATCGAATATTAGGCCTCAAATTTAAAAATATCGAGCTCTTCGGCAAAAAAGGATTTCTATCGTTACAAAACAGACATACCGTAGGAGTTGAGTTCGTAGCAAAAGTTTGAATTGCATTTAAGCTGTATCTATGCAAGTTTTTCCCACCTGTTGGCCCGGTGTTTGAATTATCAAACCTTGATCCAGGTTTTCCATCATCCTGAACCTCTTATCCAAAAACGACTCCATAGCAATCCATGTTGTCCGCGCCAAGACGGGACACTTCTTTATGGCAGTGTAACAAATAACAGACCAGAGAGCAGTTCTCTCCAGATGATCTCTCATCTCGCTCTCTTGGTCTGCTAATTGTCTCCACACCGCTCTGCCGCCCTCTCCTGGATTTACATCCAGTTAGTGTAAAAACTGACCTACTGCAATAAAGTGCATATTTCCGAATTCGACCACCGTCTTTTATTTCCGCGACGCGAAAAAATATTCATTTTCCGTTTCGAGTGATAAAATCCAGAAGGAAGTCCACCCCCACTCAACACATGTAGATAGCTCAGCAATAAGCAAGTCCTCTTCCCATTTTTCAATCGTCTTCTGATCCTGATTGTGAACGACGATGTGAATCAGGAATATATCCAAAATTAGTTCTTTAGTGGCCAGGGCTCGAAATGCTCGAAGTTTAGAACTCATATAATCGCTGAGCTCCCGAAGACTCTTGGCAGATCCCTTCTCAACAGGCTTCAAACCAAATATTGAATATACGTCTGCCTGAAAATGTAAAACTTTATTTTCAAATCGATTTATCAGTTAATTCAAAGCCTTTTTATAATTTTCATTTGACGGTTCGAGCGAGCGTATGGTCTCCAGAGCCACGCCACCCAAACTAGATCGTAAATATTATATAATACTAAAGTTTTTCAACTCCACTAAGCGCGTCTTCATTGACAATGACCATACAAAAGTTGCAAGAAAGTCTGGCCAATCGGAGTGGGATTCATGAAAACGATGGCTATCGTAATAATCAAACACACGAATAGGGTTTATTAAAAGTATGTATTCATTTGCGAGCTGCAATTTTTATCGAATTGTTATGTGAAAACAACAGACCAGTTCCTGCCGTGGGTTATACGAAGGAGAATATCTAAGCGGAGATCAGTCCCTCGCAAACTGTGGACACTTTTTTGGGCGCCACTCAAATCACTCAAATGCCGGATGATGATGGGGAATGTTTGCAGCATAAACTCTTTTGTAAACATCAATGTTATTGATCATGGCTTAAAGGAGTTTCGAGTTATATTTAATCATCATATGCAATTTAATAGAGGTCTTACGGCGCTAATGCACAAAAAACCACAAAGGTAGACAAAATAATCTTATTTTGCGTTCTCTTTTGTTAGAAAGAGGGGTATTGAAAATTTGTGAGGTCATCACCCCACTCAAAACTGTTTCTCCGGGCCTAGCTATACTTATACCCGTATACGTGTAGATGCTGACAGTCTGCTCTGAACATACTCCCCGCGTTGGAACAGGTACGGTTCCAACTTTGTGGGAATCGATGGGCAGAACGGCTAATTTGGCGACGGTTTTCTTAATGATACCTGTAGCTGTACGAGCCAGCGTTGCCAGTTTAGCTTGTTTATAAGCTAGATTTTTAATAAAATAAGCTAGAATAAGCTAAAATTTTCCAGTTTTAAATGCTATTTTGATGTTATGTTATGTAAAATCTGCGGTTATACACTTTGAAACTGGAAAATTTTAGCTTATTCTAGCTTATTTTATTAAAAATCTAGCTTATAAACAAGCTAAACTGGCAACGCTGGTACGAGCCATAGTTTCTCAAACGATGCCTTACTCACCGGGTATCTCTTCTGGAATGTGACTAAGCTGCCATTTTAAGTGTGGAATGTCGTTATCCAACAACCACACAATGCTTCCAACCCAAATTTTGGAGGATTCGAAACGCCATTTGCTCGTTTCTTGAAGAGGTGAGTTTCTGCATCTGAGTCTTCCCTTGCCATCTGTTAAGGCGGCCTTCCAGGAGATATGTGACGTCCAGCTAAGCTAATCTTTTATAGCTGAAACTTTTTAGAAAAGGCGTCGGCGTTAGCATCTTAAGGCTTTCAGCATTTCTTGAAGCTGGATAGAGTGGACGTGAGTTAGGGATGACAGAAATCTCATATGCAAGACTTTTCAATTTATCAAGCCTATTGATAAATCCGGCGAGGTAAGCTTGCCGGCTCCAAGGGGCTGTTTTAAAGACTTCCATACAAAGGGCATGCAAGAGGATGAGTCTGCGTCATGCAAGATC